AGCTATTCCAGAAAAACTATTCTGCTCCCACTCGGGCATAAGTCCTTATTCTGGAACACTGTTCCAGAAAAGGGCCAGTGTAGACAGCCCAGTAGTCTTTTCCGGGAAAAAAGCCCCGATCACGAAAATGGCGATCGGGTATCTTTTCCAGAAGAGCGCGTCTACATTGGCCACAGATGCTTTTCAGGAAAAAGGGCTCTTCCGGAAAAGCAGCCTGCCAATGTAGATGCTCCTTTTCCGGAAAAACTGAATAGTATTCCATTTTAAGCATTTCCAGAAATTCATGCCAGTGTAGACACAGCCAAGCAGAGAGGCTTGCTGCTGCTGAGTTACCAAGTATAGAACCCAGATCTTTCCTTTGTACCCATTCCCTGTTTGCTGCTAGACACATGCTTCCTCCATTCGATTGTCTGCATATGGAAGGTCTCTTGTCTATTAGCTTGTATTTGAATTTCTCGAGCAGAACTTCAGGCAAAATTGTTGAAAATAGTATGCCTAAAATTAAGGATCTCAAAGGATAAATGGCTCAAAATAACTGAGCACCTATTAGCTCTCCTGGAAATCGGTGAGCTTCTAGGTGCTTGGCATTCTGAAAATCTGACATACCTTTGTTAACAGTATTGGTTTTAATGTGGTGGCCTGTGTGCCTGCTTCATGTTGGTAGTTTTCCCTTTCTCAGGACATCCCTGTGGAGAAGAAACTCTCAGTAACACAAGTACAACTCTGGAGAATCTGTGCTACTGAGGCAAGGGTGCTTAGCCAAGTATGTGTAATCTTGCAGTTTTGAGGTGTGATATCTCAAATAAAATATGGGGCTCTTGAAAAAAGTGCTAGCCATCTTGCTATGGTAAAGCTGCAGAGAGGACTTGTAGGAGAATATTCTCTTCAAAGGAATAAGTTAGAGAAACTAGGAAAAGAGACCTGTAGAAACTGGTTTGCAAAAGAAGCTTCAGAGGGTAGCCAAGTTAGTCTGTACAGGATAAACTTAAACAACAAATTGTCTGGCAGCCCTTTATAGTCTATAAAGTGCTACCAGACCATTTGTTTAAGTCAGGGGTTCTCAAACTAGTGACACCCCCCCCCACCCTCCCCAGCTGTTCGGGATCTACAGTTTGAGAAACACTGGTTTAAGTTTATGCTTTGCAAAAGGACATCTCATTTTAAGTTCAGCAGTAATGGATCTTGTCTAAAGGTGTACTTTATAGTCTACTCTGAACAGAGGCCACATAAGTATGTAAACTGAACTTCTCAAAATAGCATGATAACTGTACTTGCTATAGCTTTGGTATTTCTTGTTTTTTTGTTTCTGCTACAGGCAGGACTGGAACAATGATTTGTACTTGGCTCATTGACAGTGACCAGTTTGAGAGTGCAAAGGTACCAGGAAAAAACTGATATTAGCTGTTTTAGTTTGTGGTTTGTGGTGGGGTGTGTTTTTTTTTTTTTTTTTTTTTTAATAGCATGATAGGCACCAGAAGAGGCATCTAAGGCTACGTCTAGACTATATGCTCTTTCAAAAAAGTGTCTAGACTACAATCAGTACTTTCAAAAAAGCAAGCTGCTTGTTTGAAAAGAGCACCCAGGCAGTCTGGATACTCTTTTGAAAAAGCACAGTTTGCATTACATAGCACCTTTTTTGGAAAGAGCACTTTCGAAAAAAGGCTTTATTCCTTGTAAAATGAGGTTTTCCACAGTCGACAAAACTGCCTCATTCTTTCGATTTACTGTTGACAGAACATGGCGGCAGTCTAGGGTGAAGATTTTTTTCAAAGCCACTTTTTTTGAAAAATCTCTGTAGTATATTAACTGTACAGTGTACTTACCCTGTGTGTGTTAACTAGAGGCCCTTTACACATAAAGTGTAAGCTGCTCTTAAAAGACTTTGCCTTTGGTTGGTCATATGGTTAATGTTTATAAGTTGAGGGGATGGAATAAAGCAGTCAAGAAGGACTGGAATGATATCATCAATGAAAGCACGTGCCTTCAGAATGACTTAAAAAAATCCTTCCACTTTAAAATCCATTAAGTAGGTATTTAATCCCAATATCTTACTCTGAAACAAGGCTGTCTTGAAGTTTAGTATCAAATCTTAACATGTCCCAGCTTCCCCTTTAATTTAATTCCCTGTTTGCCTGCACCTACCAGACTGGTTTCTATTGTGGATGCACATCTCTTCAGAGACCTGGACCTCTGTGGTCTCTACGCCCCAGTTTTTGGAAGGTGGAAGCATACCTTTCTTTAAACTTGCTGTTCGACAAAGAAAGCAAAACCAGGAGCCAAGGGTGAAAATGAACTAACACTAAGTGGCAAGTCTCATAATTAAAAGCAGATCCTCTGCTGCTGCTGCTGCTGTAATGCAGCACAGCTCGATTTGTGGCCCTAATGTATGGAGAACAAAAAAGTATCTCTGAACATGCATCTGTATGAGGATCATCAAGATAGATGTACTGAATTAACTCTTTTTACATGGTAACTTGTGGACTTCTTTCCAATTAGCTTGAATGTCTAAATTGTTACATGAAACTTCAGAAAAGAACTTCAAAAATTGTTTGATAGTGATCTCTGGAATCACATCTGGTGTGGCTTTCTAGAGTGTCTGAGTTCTTCTTTGAATGGTGGAAACAGACTGGGAGTGTAAAGTTTCTAACAAGTTAAAATCTCAGATATTGTCTAATTGTTGCTCTGGTAAAGCCACTTAAATACTGTCACTTTCTGACTAGCAAATTTTTGTCCACCTTGAAATGGTCTGTCACAATAAGGATGGACTAGTCCTTGTGTTTCCGCTACCAAATCACTAACTTCCAAAGCTGCTTTCAAACATTGGTTGGAACTTTCAAAACCGATAACCACTGTTTACATCTGATTTTTGTTAATTTTTTGTTGTAATTGTAGAATACAAACTTCATTGTGAGCAAGCTGCAAAATTTGTCCTGTTAATTCATTTAATATTATAAATCTTTTTATATGTAGGAGAGCTTGGACTATTTTGGGGAGAGGAGAACAGATAAAAGTATGAGTTCCAAATTTCAAGGAGTTGAAACACCATCTCAGGTGAGAGCCTAAACTGAATTGTGGGAGACGGATTGTAGACAAGAAAACATATCAAAATCCACTGTGTAATGGATGGAAAAAGCAAAACTGAGGGGTATGTGTGGGTTTTTTCCATAGTTCAATTGACATTCCAGATTTTGTATGCTGTATGTCTTCATAAACACAATTTTAATTGAATGACTTTCCTTTACTAGGATGGCCCACATCTTTGGAGAAATTTCCTTCTCCTGTAGCACCAACAAATGTGGAAGTGGGCATTTGACCCTGGGGTCCTGGTGGCTGTGTAGCCTAGTGGCTAGGTCACTGAGTAGGCAGGCAAAAGGTGGGAGAGGGGAGGGGACAGGAAGGCAGCACTCCCCTTTCCCCTTGTGTTCCTGGACCAGAAACTCCAAATCACTCTGTCCAACTCCTTAAATTTGGGGCATAGCCCCAAGAGTCCAGAGTCCCCTTAGTTGGGGCTTCTCAATATAGGTTTGCCCCTTTTTCCCAGAGGGCCATGGGGAGGCTTAGCATCCAGGGGATCAAGTGAGTGGACAGGCTCTGGCTCATGCCCTGAGACTGCTGAACTGGGATCCTGTCCCCTTGCAAGTCAGCCCTAAACTGACTGCAGGCCTGGCATTGGTTGCAGGGAAAGCAGGGTAGAGCTAGCTGGGCTCAGAGGGTTTCTTTATCCTCTGAGACACCAGGTCATTTCTCTGCTCCCTCACAGGAGGGAGGGGGGGAAAAGATACAGACTTTAAAAAAGTTCAGTACCTAGCACCTTAGTATTAACAAAATGTTAAACAAATGATGCTCAGAACTAGAGCTGTCTGAGGGGCAGGATATGGCTTCTGTTTTTCAAAGTCGTGTGTTTAAATTTGATTTTTATTTTTGTCCTCAACCGGATGAACTCAAAACTGCACCCAAAAAGAGGATTTAAAGAAAAATACCATTTGGAAGAATGGAATAGGAAGGGTGGTCTTTTTTTTTTTTGTTTGTTTGGGGTTTTTTTTGGCCTTTCCAGCTTCTCATCTAGAAGGAAGGCCCTTGTAATTTTTTTTTTTTCTTTGCTCAAAATAAGTGAAGTGAAATTGAGAGAGGGCCTTCCAGGAAGAGCAGACAATAAGCTGTCTTTTCAAACTCAGATCTGAGAAAAGGGTACTTTCATCAAAAGACTGCAGACCAGTTACTCAACACCCACTTAACGTCCTATCAGAGCAGTGTTAATGCTTTTTTATAGATGGGATATAGGAAACTGACAAACTAAACTACTTCCTGAAGAGTGCACACAGAGCAAAACTATAGAGCAGTGGTTCCCAAACTTTTCAGCATCATGCCCCCTTTTTGATTTTTGAGAAACGCTCACGCCGCGTCCTCCCTCCCCCAGCAACAAAACTTGTTGGGGGGGGGGGAGGAACTGACTGGGCTGGAAAAACAAAAATAGCAAGGAGATTGATGGGGGCTGAGTCACCTTGTGCCCCCTCTCCCCAGAATTCCTGCATGCTCCCCCCCCCCCCCCCCCCCTATAGAGGAAATGGGATTAAAAATATGTAAATTCCTGTCCTTTAGCTCAGTGTCTCTTCTCATTCATCAGTCACTGAAAGTAACAGGGTCAATATGTACCAAATGTGGTGAGGACCATATTTAACATAGGCATCTTTTATTTTTCATTGCAGAGTCGGTATGTTGGGTATTATGAGATCCTGAAGAACAAATATAACTTGACACTCCCACCAGAGAGAGAACTCAAAATAAAGAACATCAAAATCTACTCTATTAATGGTAAGAATTAATACAAATTATGTGAATGCTCTTTAGTCTTTTACCCATTTTTGAAATGTTCCCCAAGTCACTTGTTTCAACTCTATATATTGAATGTACAAATACAGCATGTGTTACAGAAATCTTACTGGGGTCAGAATTACTATAATCACAGATCTCAGTGGTGAGAGGTGCTTTGCTGTTTCATGGAGGCCAGGTAAAACAATATGAAATTCTATATAAATGTAAACTCAAGGACTTTGTAACTCAGTTGCAGGCAAAAGGAACATCTTCTGTGACTGTGCCCTTTTTAAAATAGGTTCTTTCTGCTGGGTTTTTTCAGTAATGCTTATTCCCTCCAACTGGCATTAGAATGAGATGGGGGCGGGGGATGGAGATGCATGTATTCAGGAACTAGAATTTTTGCAGATAAATGACAGTGAAATATCTGGCATGAATCAAATGCTTTCAAGCATGCTTCTGAGTCTGACATGAGAGAAGGCAAACACTAAGTTTCTATGGGTGGGCACCTAAAATCTTGGGTCCACCTAAGAGATAAGGTTGAATTTTATTGTGGTTGATTTCTTACCACCCAATTTTGTAAAGTTGAAGGTCCATGTCTTCACTGTGCACAAGAAATCAATGCAGTTCAAAATAGTGTGTCCCCAGTAGGGAGACTGCTGACTGTGGGTAGCCATAGTGCCTGTGCTGCTTTGAATGTTGGGTTATGCTCCCACTCCATGCTGGGACCAAAACTTCAGCAGGTTCTGGGTTTGTGTGGTCCGTGTCCCATAATGTGCCTGTTTCCTATTTATCTTAATCAAGGGGGAGGGCGTAAACTGTCTTTTCATGCCCTTTCTGTCCCCGATTGCCTGCACAGATGCCACAGGGTGGGGGGGGGGTGTGTGTGGCACACCCTTTCCCCTTCCAATAGAACCCATTGTGCATTAAAACATAGAGGGTGATGTCTGTCTAATTTGATGTGCCTAATGGTGGAGTGTGAAGAGTGTATGCACGTCACTTCAGAAGGAGGACTAAGAGGAATCTCAGGGTGCCATGGAACTGAAATGCAGCCAGCATTTGATCCTATTGACTGCACCAGAACAGGTGTTATACTGCCTTGGACAAGCACAGACTGGAGGGACCTCATAGTGCTGCAGGTATGGGATGATCAGCAGTGTCTGCAAAACTTTCCCTTGCCCTGAAGTGCCACATAGTCCTGCATTTTGCTGAAGTGCCAGGGATGCCTGAATGAAACCCACTCTGACAGTGGAGAAGCAAGTGGCAACTGTTCTATGGAAGTTTGCAATGCCAGACAGCTACTAGTCAGTTGGAAATCTGCAATAGGGGCTGCTGTTATACAAGTAGCCAAAGCAATCAATACTATTCTACTATGGAAGGTAGTGACTCTGGGAAACGTGGATGCCACAATGGCGGGCTTTGTTGCAGTGCAGTTTCCTAACTGCAGTGAGGCAATAAACACACGTCCCCACCTTGGCACCTAACCACCTTGCCAAGGAGTACATTAATGGCAAAAGGTACTTCTCAGTGGTGCTGCATGTGCTCGTGGATCACAAGAGCCATTTCCTACTGCCCCATGTTGATGTCTGTGAAAGGTGCATGATGCGCACATCTTTAGGAACTCCTGCCTCTTCAGAAAGCTGCAAATTGAAACTTTCTTCCCAGACTGGAAAATTCCCATTGGAGGTGTTGTCAGAATCAGAGATGGAAATGCCAATAGTGATCTTTAGTGACCCCCGCCCCCCATTGCTCCTGTGGCTCATGAAGCCATACACGGGCAGCCTGGATCACAGTAAGGAACAGTTCAACTATAGACTGTGCAAGTGCAGAACGATGGTTGAATGCCCTTTTGGGCATTAAAGGGAAGGTTTAGGAGTCTTCTGACTAGGTTGGACCTCAGTGAACACAACATTCCCTTTGTTGGGGGCAGCCTGTGTGCTCTATAATCTTTGGGAGCAAGGGGGAAACTTATCTAGCAGGGTGGAGGGTTGAGGCAGAGTGCCTTGCCAGAGACTTTGAGCAGCCAGGCACGAGGGTGATGATGAGAGCACAGGGCAGTGCAAGTCAGAGGTTTTAAGATAGTTTTATGAATGGCCAGTTCTGAGAGTCTTGCAAGCTCTCAACAAGGTGCCCCTTCATTCAGTGGTAATTCCCAACCCAACTCCTGCAGTACAAGCAATAAAGAGACTGTTGTTCAGAGGCCATGTGTCTGTGTGGCTTTGTGTGTGTGTGTGTGTGTGTTTATTTAGGGAGGACAGCAGGGACAGAAAAGGAGTTTGTGGTGGGACCCAAAGGGTGGGGAAAAATCAAATACAGGAGTGTTTCTTTTTTGCCTCACAAGGTCCTGGAGCATGAATGTGAGGCTGCCCTTGAGTGCTCTTCTCCCTCTCCCTTCCCTGGTGTCTTCTGGTGAAGGCTGCCGCACTGGGGGGGGGGGGGGGGGGGGTTCTCCGTG